GGCCGCATCCGGCCCCCGGGCCTTAGGTTGCCTACCCCTGAAATAGACTAAGGAAAATGGAGCCCGTGTGGTTTGAGCTTTGGACTATGACTCTGTGAATACCCAGGTTCAAACCACAGCTCCGTCACAAGAACCCACAGGAACAAGTCACACTCTCTCACCCTAAGAAGAGGGCCAGGAAAACTCCCCCCCCAAAACTTGCCCCCCAAAAAGCCAGGGTGGTGTGGTGGCTTGAGCGTTGGACTATGACTTTGTGGAGACCAGGGTCCGAATCCCCAATAGACTATAAAAACCCACAGGGTAACTTTGGGCCATGTCACATTTTCTCAGCCTCAAGAGGAGGGCCAGGGGAAAAAAACCCTGAACAAAACCTTGCCAAAACAAAACAAAACAAAACCAACTCAAAAACCTGCAATAGGTTCACTGGCTTTGAGTTGCCAGAAGTGAGAAACTACAGGTGGGAGGTGCTAAAATCAATGACAGTACTTGTCTACAAAGAAGCCATACTTGCCCATAGGATTTTATTGTTAAGAGGGGAAAACAGCTTCCTAAAGGAAAATAGTTAACATCCCGGGGGGGGGGGGGGGAACCATATTGGCCCATCGGGATACATAGAAGAATACTTGCCTTTTCCCTATACCGGGAGGAAAGTGGGATACAAATAGATAAAACAATAGCACCAACAACATTTTATTTATTGCTAAGAGGGAAATGCAGCTCCCCATGGAAAAACCCAGACGTGCCCATAGGGAAAGCATACTTGCCTAATGCATCTGAGGAATAAGGCTCAAGAATAGGAAAGCTCATGTTGCCAACTTCTTTCTTTCAGTTAGTCTCAAAGGCGCTGTAAGATCTGTCTCTTTACTTGCCCATGTTTCTCTATGAGCAAGTATCCTCTCAATGGACAAGTGTCCCCAATCTATCCCTATGGGCAAGAATCCTCGCTATGGGCAAGTATCCCTCAATGTATCCCTATGGGCAAGTATCCTCTCAATGGTCAAGTGTCTCCCAATCTATCCCTATGGGTAAGTATCCTCTCTTTGGGCAAGTATCCCCAATGAACCTACAATTAAAGCATTCTTCCCCATAGGGAAAGCATACTTCCCCAATGTATCCCTAAAGGGAAGTATGCTTTCCTTATGGGTAAGTTTCCACCAATGTATCCCTATCCTCCAATGTATCCCTATGGGTACGTATCCTCTATATGGGCAATTATCTTTCAATGTATCCCTATGGGCAAGTATCCTCTCCCTATGGGCATGTATCCCCCAATGTATCCCTGTGGGCATGTATCCTTCTATTTATCCCTATAGCCACGTATGCTTTCCCTTTGGGCATGTATCCCCCAATATGTCCCTATGGGGAAGTATGCTTTCCTTGTGGGTAAGTATTCTCTCTGTGGGCATGTATAGCCCAATGTATCCCTATGGGCAAGGATCCTCCCATGTATCCCTTTGGCCACGTATGCTTTCCCTGTGGGCATGTATCCCCCAATGTGTCCCTATGGGGAAGTATACTTTCATTATAGGTAAGATACTCTTTGGGAAAGTATCCCCCATGTATCCCTATGGGCATGTATCCCCCAATGTATCCTTGTGGGGGAAGTATCCTCCTATGTATCCCTATGGCCAAGTATCTGCCAATGTATCTCTATAGGGAAGTATGCGTTCCTTGTGGGTAAATATCCTCTCTTTGGGCAAGTATCCCCCCATGTATCCCTATGGGGAAGTATGCTTATGGGTAAGTATCCCCTGTGAGGAAGTATCCTCCTATATATCCCTATGGCCAAGCATCTCTAAGAGGAAGTTTGCATTCATTGTAGGTAAGCATCTCTCAATGTATCCCTATGGGCAAGGATCCTCCCATGTATCCCTTTGGCCAAGGATGCTTTCCCTGTGGGCATATATCCCCCAATGTGTCCCTATGGGGAAGTATGCTTTCATTATAGGTAAGATACTCTTTGGGAAAGTATCCCCCATGTATCCCTATGGGCATGTATCCCCCAATGTATCCTTGTGGGGAAGTATCCTCCTATGTATCCCTATGGCCAAGTATCTGCCAATGTATCTCTATAGGGAAGTATGAGTTCTTTGTGGGCATGTATCCTTCTATTTATCCCTATAACCACGTATGCTTTCCCTATGGGCATGTATCCCCCAATGTATCCCTATGGGCAAGGATCCTCCTATGTATCCCTATGGCCAGGTACCTGCCAATGTATCTCTATAGGGAAGTATGCCTTCCCTGTGGGTAAGTATCCTCTCCTTATGGGCATGTATCCCCCAATGTATCCCTATGGACAAGGATCCTCCTATGTATCCCTATGGGCAAGTATCTGCCAATGTATCTCTATAGGGAAGTATGCTTTCCTTGTGGGTAAGTATTCTCTCTGTGGGCATGTATCCCCCAATGTATCCCTAAGGGCAAGGATCCTCCTATGTATGCTTTCCCTGTGGGCATGTATCTCCCAATGTGTCCCAATGGGGAAGTATCTTCCTATGTATCCCTATGGCCAGGTATCTGTCAATGTATCTCTATAGGGAAGTATCCTCTCCTTGTGGGCATGTATCCCCCAATGTGTCCCTATGGGCAGCGGGAGGGCGCCGTGGGTCGGGGGAAGCTCTCTCTCACCTTGGAGCATGGCCTCCAGCTTCTTCCTGTCCACGCGGAACCGCTCCTCGGCCCACTCCGGGGGGCTGCTGCCGTTGCTGCTGCCGCCGCCTGAGGAAGGAGGCCGGGGGGCGACGCCGCCGCCGCTAGACGAAGGACCAACGTCTCCGCAACCGCCGCCGCCGCCGCCGCCGCCGTCCTCGGGAAGAGGCGAGTCCGCGCTGCGCTCGCTGTTGGAGCCGTTGGCGTTGCCGTTGTAGCCGTTGGGGTCCGAGAGCGGGTACCCCTGAGCGGGGGCCGCCATGCCAGCGCCGAACGGCCACTCCTGCGCGGCGGAGCCAGAGGAGGAAAGGGCCAGCGCGGCCCCGTCGTCCCCGCAGCAGCAATAGCAGCCCCCGTCGCCGTCGTTGCCGTCGTTCCTCCGCCTCGTAGTAGTAGTACTAGTACTAGTACTAGTAGCAGCTCCTCCTCCTCGGGAGGCTATCTGGCCCCAGAGCCCCCCGCCCCCGGCTTCATCCCAGCCCGCCAGAGCCTCGGCGGAGGTCCCTCGGAGCCGGGCGCCTGCCTTCGCCTCCTCCAGCTCGGGCTCCAAGATGTCTCTGTGGTTGTCGTCTTCGCAGCCCCTGGCCTCGCACAGTCCTTGTCCCGGGCCGGCGGCGGCTCTGCTGCGCCCCCAACCCGCCCGCAATCCGCACAGCATCCCCGCCTCCTCCTCC